GGGAATGGAAGAAGGCTTTACATATTGATGACTGATCCATTGACTGATTTAAAGCACTTGATATATCAGTCTTCCAAGGCATCCATTCTCAAAGCAGCTTGCGATACCGCACTTCAACAGGTGGGATGGTTGAAACCAACCCACCAGGTCGTTTATGGGGAGGACCCCTGACCACCACGGTGTTAGTTAGTTAGTTAGGCATCCTTCCGTCTCGAGAGATGATGGTAACATGCTCTGCATGGAGGACTTGGAACAGCGTCTAGTGTGTTTGAGGAGGCCAATTCGAGAGTGACCATCCCTTCCATACTGAAGACAAATCCAATCTGTCCCCTGTCCAGCTCCCTGGTTTGGCTGGTTTCAAGATGGCCTCTTTGCCTCGGCCTGCTGGACAAGGGTCTCTTCAAATTGGGAGAGGCCATGATGCAATGCCTGCCTCCAGGCTGAATGCTCAGATGTTAGGTGGCTCCTTAAAAAGGTGTGTGAGAAATGCTGCCCGCTTTGAGACACCCTCCCTGAGGCTGTTCCTTTGCCATCCTGTAATGCCAGCTCCTTCCAAGCCGGGCTGCTGGTAAAGCCCCCCTGGTGGCACCCGTCTGGCTGTGGTTGCGTCTGTGCACCCGCCGGACCTCAGGCCTTCCCCAGTTCAGGAGTCTTGAGACACGGCCGGTTGGCCTACCCGGCTGGTGCAGGGACCACAGCTGCAAGCACATGGCGTCTCCCTCCTCCCTCCCACCTCTGCTGTGTTGTTTGCGGGTCCTTTGGTTTTAAAAGGCACACAGCGGTAACCTGCTCGTCTCCGGACCACCTCCTGCTGCAAGCAGTTTCCTGGGAGAAAATGTCTGCTGTGGTCTGCTGGAGGGGGGGGGGGTCATGTTTGGAAGCCAAGGGTCCTGGCCAGGCCCCTCTTGGTCAAGACCCGAAGGCTACAGGAACACAACAGTGAGAAACTAGAATGTACAGGTTCTCCAGGTCGTAGTGGACTCCCCTAGGAAGACCGGGGTGGGGTGGGGGTGACATCTGCCAGAGAGAATGGCTGGAAAAAAGGGACCCATTTAGCCCACGAGGGAGGAGAAAGGGTTTGGGCTGACCCCGGCAGCCTTCCTTTTCTCTCCAGGGATAAGGCTAGGAGGACCAACGGGAAGCAGGCTGCGGCTTGAGTTTTTGGAGTGTCGAGCTCACAGCCCCCCCCCCACTCTTAGCAAGAAACTGAGGGGGCAGCCGGGAGGGGGGAAACCTTGGTTTCTTTGGCTCACTGCAAGAAATCCCTTGATAAACCCTGTGGGATTTCTTGGGTGTTTCCTGGCCTTTTTTTCTCTCCCCCCCCAAGAAATTATAACCATCTCTACACAAATTGGTGGTGGGCCTGCCTTCCTTTGAATTCACCAGAACCCCTCGGGCATTCAGCGGCACATCATCCGGGCCAGAAGAAGCAGCCCTGGGCAAAATGAGAGCAGCGAAACCTTCCGCGTCCAGAAGAAAGTCTCAGCGAGGAATCTCAGGGTGGTGAGGCTTAGAAAACTGCCCAGAATGAGATCTTTCTATTTCTTTTGGCGGACCCTCCGCATTCTCTCGTAGGCCTCTCCGGGGAAAACAAAACACAGCAGAAAAGGTGATAATGTTATGCAAAGCTGAATATAGAAGGAAGACCTTGCAGATCATCCCTCTATATGAGACAGGCTGACTCGTCAAGGAAACCCCAGGCTTATAGTCGTTAAGAGCTGAGGGGGGGGAGGGGGCTGTAATCTTCTGGAGGTCATTACCTCATAGGGTCACCCTCAGTCCAGAAAGGACTCAAAGTACCTAAGAGGAAATTCTCAATTGTAAGAGAGCTGTTTGACCATGGAAGGGGTCCATTCCTTCTTCCTACCAGTGGTGACCTTCTCTCTCCCCCCCCCCCCCCAATTTTCATTTCCTCCGTCCCTCCTTCATTCCTTTTTTATTATGACTGGGTTTCCGTATTAGTGAGGGAGAACTGTGTGAAGGTGGAACAAATTGGCTGGAGGTGGTTTCTTCCTCTACACGACCATCGTTCTCTATTTCTGCTCTCTGTCGCCCAGATGAAGTGTGAAAACGTGGCATTTACAGCAAGATCCAATGGGTTCACGTATTCCATTTAGTAATGAGTTCTTTTTATATATCAGTGGGTTTCACATTTTTATCGTCCAAACCGGTATAACAGAGCACAGGAATTTTTCTGAACGACACTCTCCCCAAAATCCTCCAGCAAGTGAGGCCACTTAGAAGAGAAGAGTTGACCCCAGGGGTGGGCTGGGGTGGGGTGGGGTTAGATCACTTTAAAAGGGGTTTTAATCCAAGTAAGTAGCTCTTCTCAGTTCTGGGAGAAAGTGAGGTTCCTGTCGTGAATCTGAACCTGAGGCTCCCTTCGGAGGCAGGCCAGGCTGGCCCCCTCCCATCTTGGCCAACCCCCTCCTGAAGCAGGAAATTGACAGCCCCCCCCCCCGAGTCTGTTGAGGAACCTCCAGTGAAGGAAAACCCACCCCCCTCCGAGACTCGTCTGTCCCATTGCCCAACGGCTCTTAAGGTCAGGCAGTTTTTCCTAAGGTTTAGCGGAAACCCTAATTTTTGGAGATTTGAAGATGGCCCTCGCTGCCCTGTGGGATCCTACCATCTCCTCTTCTCTGAGGGAAACAAGCCAAATTCTCTCAGCCGTTCCGCTTGGGGCTTGGGTGGCAGGCCTTTTACCCTTCCGGTCACCCTCCTCTGGGCATGCCCGTTTGTCAATACCCTCCTTCAACGGTGGTGCCCAGGACTGGCCACGGGGCACCAGGCGACCACCGGTGCTTCCTTGCACCCAGATGGTGGCCTTCTGTTGCCTTGCGTTTGCCTCGCACCTCATCCCACTCCTCTTGACTCATGTTCAGCTTGTGGCCAGCATGTCTGCGTCACCCTCTGATACTCAGAAGCTAGAATGGAGCCCAGGCTCGCTTTGATGGCCCTACAGATCGGGAAACGGTGCTCCAAACTCCAGCCGGCTAGTAGGTCCTGCTCTGCTCCTTTCCACTCCTTTTGCTCCCAGGAAACCAGGCCTGAAGGCGCTTTGCCAGATTGCCGCATTGGGTGGAGACGGTTTGCATCTCCCATCAGCATGAAGGAGGCCTGCTTTCCATGGCCGCCCATTCAACTCAGGGGTGGCCTCTCGTGAATACTAATTGCAGGGAAAGCTGCCGTAGCAAAGGGAGAAGCCGCGAGCAGTGGATAAAGGTCGTGCTGCCAGAATGCAAATGACCCGAGGATATGTCTATTCACAAGGACAGCCTGTCCGCTGGATGAACCCCAGCCAAGCCTGGTGCCCCCCCCATTGCAATTAAACTCCCACCCCACCCCCACCCTTGCTGCCCTACATAAAAGGTGATTCCCTCAGACTTCCAAGTCCCACAAGCAGAGATCCGTCACAGCAAATGGAGTCTGCTTCTCTCTGGCGCAAGAGGAGGGCGCCTGCCCTCTTTGGCCCTTAAAAGTGAATTGGTACCCTCCGCTAATCAGCAAAAGCTTTAGTTGCTTAATTTACAGTAGCCAGTTTTAACTTCGCTCCAGCTGACCATCCCCCTGTCTTGGTCATCTCTGGCCTCCTCCACTGGTGGTCAAGGAACCAAAGGCCAACGTGCTCCCCCCCTCCACCTGCCAAGTGAACATTTGCCGGGGGGGGGGCAGATATATTTTTCTGTCCAAAAGATCTCCTGTATGGAGAATTAGTGCAGGGAAATCGCCCCAGAGGGAGACCACAGCTGCGATACAAGGATATCTGCAAGCGGGATCTGAAGGCCTTAGGAATAGACCTCAACCGATGGGAAACCCTGACATCTGACCGTTCAGCCTGGAGGCAGGCGGTGCATCACGGCCTCTCCCAATGTGAAGAGACCCTTGTCCAGCAGGCCGAGGCCAAGAGGCAGTCCCGAAACCAGCTAAATCAGGGAGCTGGACAGGGGACAGATTGTATTTGTCTTCAGTGTGGAAGAGATTGTCACTCTCGTATTGGCCTTCTCAGGCACAATAGATGCTGTTCCAAGTCCTCGATACAGAGCACGATACCATAGTCTTTCGAGACTGAAGGATGCCTTCGATCATCATAACCCCCATACTCCCCTGACCAGTTTGGCCAGCAATCATGCCAGGTGGGGGAATCTGGATGTTGGGATAAAAAAGGAGCTCAGATAAGCTCTTCTCAGGAGGAATGAGATGACAAGAGGGAAATCAGCTTGGCCCCACACAAGAGCTAGAGAGGGAGTGGGTCTCAACAGCTGATTTGGCCCCACACGAGCTAGAGAGGGAGTGGGTCTCAACAACTGATTGGGGGGGGCACCTCGGTCTGCAGATTTACTGGAGGGGTTGTGTGTGTGCGCGCGCGCGCGCGCGCTTTGGCTCTCTCTCCAAAGAGAGAGTCCAGCGATGCTATTGTCAGTCTCATTTTCCTGCCCCAGATGATCCACCCGGGGCTCTCAGGCGTGTGGGGCCCAGTGCCCATGGCTTGGCTTGACGGGAACAGGGGACTCCTGTTGTTTTCTGATGTTGACTTGTTCCCAGTTGTTTAAGGCGCTTGCATCCCAGCCTGACATCTCCCCTTTCAGGGCGGGACAGAAGCCCTCCGAGAAACCAGCCATCGCTAAAGGCTTGGCTCCCTCTCCATGACGAGAAGGGCTTATTTCACCCCCCCTCCCCTCGGCTGCGTCTGCTTCCCATTATGCTCCGATCAACATGTCATGATGTGACATGAGTCCCTGTCAGAGGATGTGAAGACACTTCCTGGCAGCCTCCTCTGAACAAGCAGATCCCACAGGCTAAGAAAGGGTGTGAATCCCATCTCAGGCGCTCTGACGAGCAATGACAGGTTTTGCATGAAGCTCCGGGAAGGAGCACTTTACCGCCACAAAGAGCCGTTCTGAGCTGAAAAGGCAGCGGAGGAAGTGTGTGGGTTCCCTCTCCTGAGGCAGGGAAGGAGGAGGTGTGTGTGTGTGTGTGGGGGGGTGAAAGCTTCCCAAGCCCAGCCCAGCAGCAGCTGCTTCCCCACGTCTGTCTGACGCAGAGGGATCCTGCCTGCCCACGGGGGCTGCCCAAGGGCTGAGCCTCTTCCCGAAGAAGGCAAACGTCTTCCTGCCTCGATGGCTTTCCTCTCCGTGGCTCCTGAGGCTGCTCCCCGTGGGCTTAGAGAGCCTTTGCCTTTTGCTCTGAGCTGCTTTATGGCTTTTGCACAGGTTGTTTGATGCCTCAGGGAGAGGCGATGGAACAGCTTCAGCAGATAAACACAAGGTACCAAAGAGAAGAACAGCTTCTTCCCTCATCAGCACCTGTGGATGCTTGGGATCACCCCCAGCCATCTTTATGGATCCCTTTTTCTTGCAAGGAGGGGGGGCGGGGCGGGGAGGGTAGAAAGGCTCCTTAAGGCTCACCTGGATGTGCTTCTCTGTCCCCATGCTGGATTTCTCTGGTTCCACCTCGGACCTGGCCCCCTTCGGCAGCGGGGTGATGCTGGGCTAAAGAAAGAGGAGAAAGAGGTCGCACACTGCAGGCTGGCAGCAAGCTTGGCCCGGGTGGGCTGAAGGAGGGAGGGAGGGGGGGAACCAGGGATGCCCCACCTGCTCAGTGCCAGCGCCTTCCTGCCTCAGCGACTGCTCTCTCAGGGCTGCCCTCTCCTGCACTGCTTTGGCCAGCTTCTTTTTCTGCAGGGAGAACAAGAAAAACCATCGGCAGGGCTGGCTTCTTTTAGGCCCAGGGACACACTTCGTTAGCTTGTGCCAGGGCCAAAGTGGGTGCGCCCCCAGGTGCCTGCAGGAAAGACCGTTTTCATGAGTTGGCTTCCATCCCCCCCCCCTCAAATTGCAGAACCACTTGCTTTTGTTTTGTGGTGGATCTTTGCAATGGGAGCAGCTAAACATGGGCTTCCTTTGCATATAACTTCAATGTGTTAATGCATACATATAAGGCCCTAAACGGTTTAGGACCCCGATACTTGGCGGAACGCCTGCTCCCACCTAGATCTACTCGGATCACCCGCATGAGCCAGGAGGTGAGGCTGAGGAGCCTAATGCCAAGGGAGGCCCGGAATGAACGAACACGAAACCGGGCCTTCTCGGCAGTGGCTCCTCGCCTCTGGAATAACCTTCCTCTGGTTATCCGTGCAGCCCCTACGCTGGGCACTTTTAAGAGTCAACTAAAAACATGGTTGTATGTTCAGGCCTTCCCTCCTGTCAATATTTAATTCTTTCTTTATTTTTTCTTTCATTTATTATTTGTTTTATTATTGTATGTGTTATGGAATGTTTGTAAAATTCTTATGTTTTTGTACACCTTATTGGAAACCGCCCACAGTGGTCGACCAGACCAGATGGGCAGGATATAAATCAAATAAATACATAAATAAATAAAATATAAATGGCTCTGGCAGGGAGCTTTGAAGGTATGGCGTGTCTGGAAGGAAAACCACTGTAATTGCAGAGAAATACGCAGGAGGTGCCGTTGGCCACGGGTGGGGCAAGGCGGGGACTTACCAGGTAAATGTTGTACCTCAGCATCCTGGTCCTGGCATCGGAGACGCTGGAGCCCAGCTCTTTCAGTTTGGCCTTCATGTCAACCATCAGACGGGCAGGGGGGTCCTGATGGCTTTGCAGCTGGGTCACCTCTGTCAGGAGGGGCCCCAAAGCTGTGTACAAGGCGGAGATGTGCTTCCTGAGGAAAGGCAAAAGGAGAGAGATACCCTAAGCGGATCTGTCGACACCACCTTCTACACGGGACCTGCAGCCCACACCTGACATCCCAACAGTCTGCTTCCAGCCACCCCAGCGACTGCCTGCCTGCCTCGGGCCAGATGTTCTGAATTCTGACAATGTTTAACTTCCTCCCCAGCTCTCCCAAATGTTATAATGTCCCTATTTGAAGGAGAGATTGGGAGGACCCTAAAACCTCCCTCCTTCTGACTTTTCAGCAATATAGCAAAGGCGTTACTTAAGGAAGATTTTTGTTCCTGTACATGTTCTTATCTGTACCTGCTGGACAGCTCAGTGGTTGAGGCCTCTGGCTGGGAAGTCAGAATTTAGGAGTTCAAATCCCCCATTGAGGGGGGCTGGACCTGATGATCTCTAAGGTGCTGCAGAAAGAATACAACTTCTCTGTCTTCCGACGGGCATTTTCCCTGCTGTACGGCTGGTTCGCTGCTTTTTCTGGCAATCATACCACATCATTTTCTGGAGTGAACCAACTAGTCCCCAGAATCTTTCTACACACACTGATCATGGCAGGGCCTTTTAAAAAAATTGATGTGGGTATGATCGCTCCATTTTGATTAGCTTCCAGTGAGTGGGGTTGTTGTGATCGAAAGCGAGCTTGTGGCTGTCAAATGGCCTTCTGCTGTCAATTTGCCAATATTGTGAAGTGGCTTAAGAAGAGAGTGTAGCCACTTCACAATATTGGGAAATTAAACACTTCCTCTGCTTCATGAAGGGCGAGAGGAAGTAAATGTTTTTTTTTTAAAAAAAACTGTACAAGGACAGCATATGTGTGCTACATCACTTTGAAAAGAAAAAGAAAAATTGAAAACTTCCTCCTGGAAGTGGGATGAGACAGGAGAGGGATTTTTTGGCACAGCCACATAACACATACAAAACAGGGAAATAAAAAACTTATATCCTCTATGGAGAATGAGGAGGAAGCAAAAAAAAAGTTTTTAACTAATTAGGATGGTGCTAATGTGCTGCATCACCCAAATATTTTTTTAAAATGAAATCTTCCTCCCAGAAGCAAGAAGAGACAGGAGGGGGCAAGGAGGGGGATTTTGTTAGTCTTCTTAAAGGAACCAGATCCAATTGTGTTACTTGAGGTGCACATGCCATTGGGGTGCACCAAATGGCATACCAGACCTCTTCCTGACCCCAACCGATCCTACTTAGTTTGCAGCCACCCACTCCAAATGATTCCATGCAGACAAGCTATGTTTGTTTTAAAATTTGTCTTGATCTGTCTGTTGGATGAAGAAACAACCCTTCTTTGCCAAAGGTCCATTCCCTATGAATTTGTACCACATGGCGGTTGGATTTGTCCCCAAAGGCACTCACATGGTCTCCTCGTCCAGCTCCTCATCTCCACAAGCGGGGTTCTCACTCACAGGACTTTGAGGCTCTGCTGTGGAAAGGAAATTGAAATGGGGAAGATGGCAAGAAAGCCTGGAGAGACGGATGCTAGTGGTGGCTGGTGGAACTCTACGTCAGCCCCCTTTTCTTGCTTCTGTTCACCCCCTGCCTCTCCCCTTTCCCTCCGAGGACCCTCCTCTGGATCTTGTCCTGCCCCATAAGATAGAGACCCATGGGGTTGTCGAGGGGCAGCCAACGCCTCATACCTGGGAGACTGGAGGGGGCAGAGCCTCTGTCGTCCATGACTTGAAGGCTGAAAAAAAAACCAAAGGTAGAAAAGGGGTGCATTGTGTGGCAGCTGCTTTTTTGGCTGGTATATCCCAGTGCACAGTCGAGGCCTGGGGAGAGTCTGCTGGGGCACAGGAAACATGCCACTGTTCCCAGAATGTACGTCTCCAGTCCTCATGACTTCAATGAGGGGCTTGAAACAACACAGACAAGGCTTGGTGCTCCTGGGGGGTGGGTCAAAGTGAATAAAGAGTTGTGGCCTGTGTGGGGAAGTGGAAGGGCGGGGCAGCATCTCAGTGCCCCTACAGACCTTCTTGTTCTTCCACTCTACTAGGGATCTGAGAGTAATTATGGACCTTTGCAGTGGCATTTTCATGTAATTTATGCAGAGGGCAGAATCCGGCTTTGATGGCCACAGCCTTCCACTTTCTGACTGCTGAATCTGGATTGGCCATGTGTAGATGCACCCCTCCATACACACACCCTCAACATTGTAAAACAAGAAATGGAATATCTAAACTAACTACAGTGGGCTGGAATAGATTTTCAATTAGACTTTACAAAATGTTTTACCTTGGAAACAATAAAGATAGTGATACAGGACACAGCACAAGAATTTAGGGACTATAATGCAAAGTCTGACCAAGTAATATCAATCATGTACAGTTTGTTTGCATAGCTTTCATTCAAGTCTAGGCTCCAACTACAGCTGCACAACAAGAAGAAACTGAATAATTTTACATCAGTGTCTAGGAGGAAATTGATTTCTCTCTCTCACACACAAATAAGATGTGCTGATAATCATAGTAAACAGAATGCAAAAGTAGGAAATAAAGCAGAACCAAACATCGTTGGAGAACTTGGCCTACAGTAGAAGGTAGAAGCAGGAGAGTGACTAATTAAATTCAGTGAAACCAGCAATTAATTTATTGCAAACACATGTTTTGGGCAACCAGACAGATCATTGTACCCCTGGATGTCACTGGACAGCAAACAGAAGAACCCGATAGCCTATGTAATCAAGAGTGGAAGTTGGAGAAGTTGTATTCTTTCTGCAGAAACAAGACCAGGAACATCCTGGAATAATTAGATTTAGATTAGGCATCATTCGGTCTCGAGAGACTATGGTAACATGCTCTGAATAGAGGACTTGGAACAGCATCTGGTGTGGCTGAGGAGGCCAATTCAAGGGTAGCAATTCTTTCCACAATCTGTCCCCTGTCCAGCTCTCTGATTTTGATGGATTTGGGACTGCTTCTTTGCCTTGGCCTGCCTCCAGGCTGAACGCTCAGACGTCAAGGTTTCCCATCTGTTGAGATCCATTCCTAAGGCCTTCAGATCCCGCTTGCAGATCTCCTTGTATCACAGCTGCGGTCTCCCTCAGGGGTGATTTCCCTGCGCTAATTCTCCATACAGGAGAGCTTTTGGAATCCGACCATCAGCCATTCTCACAACATCCCTGAGTCAACATAGACGTTTCTGTTTCAGTAATGTATATGTGCTAAAAATTCTAGCTTGTTCAAGCTGGGATAATAGCAGTCTTGCATATACTAATGCTGGGTATCAGTGAGAGAGAGGCTTTACAACCTAATATGATTGGCACTAATTTGACTGGTAAAGTTCTTTTTCCACCTCTGGCATGTGAGGCAAGCCCCCTTTCCTGTTTGCTTTTGCTTCCATTGTTCGTTGATATCTCCTCTTCTTCCTCTGACCATCTTCCAAGCAGCAAGCCTGCAGAGTCTCCATTCAAACCCTTTTTATTCTGACTGTTAACTTCAGACAGTAACTATAAGTAAATACACCCCCTTCTACTTCAAATGCTCCTAAATTGGAAAAGACTGCACACTGTTAATATAAAAGAAATCAGATGAAACTGAAGAGCAAGATTAAAGCAATTGTAGGGCCAAAATAAAATTTATATAATACTGGGATTCTGAAAGATCAGCAGTGGAATATATCCTCTGATCATTATGTCAGTTTGAACCTTTAAAGGGATGAACAGTTCAAGGGCCTGGCTAGCTAAGGGCCAGCCTGTCTCTTTGAGCTCTGGCCAAAGTGGCTTTGGATCATTTCTGGATATGAACCTATTCAGATGTTAAGGTCTTCAGGAGAGGATCTTTTCCAGAAGACCAACAGCTGCAGGGGCCTCCCAAACAGGCAAATAGGAGAGGACGCTTCCCTGTGGGGCTCCCAGGCGGTGGCATGGAATCCCTTTGGAACTGTGTGATCAGTGGCCCGCTTCACTCTTTGTAAGAAGGGTGTAAAAAACATCTTTTTAGACTGGCATGTGTTCTTTTTCTTTCTTTCTTTCTTTTTTTACTGTGCACTTAGTTGATTTTAATGGTTTTCATAGTAGGGTTTCTTTTGTCTGATATTGTTTTGTGCTTAAATCTGGTTTACTAGTTTTTAAAATGAATTTTTAAGGTCATCTGTGTGTGTGTGTGTGTGAGAGAGAGAGAGAGAGAGAGAGAGAGAGAGAGAGAGAGAGAGAGAGAGAGAGAGAGAGAGAGAGAGAGAGAGAGAGAGAGAGAGAGAGAGAGAGAGAGAGAGAGAGAGAGAGAGAGAGAGAGAGAGAGAGAGCGAGAGAGAGATCTAAAAAAGAAATACATCATGCCTCCAACAGAGGGCAGTGTAGGAAAGCTCTTCTGGAAGGAAAGGTGTCAAGCTGCTTGTTATCCTGGAGCAAAGGCTATGGTCCATCCATTCCTGCATCTGAGATGCTGTATGGAATGATTGTGCTTTAGCAAAAGGCAATGCAGATTTCACCACTATTTCCTTATAGAGAGAGATTTGATTCTCCATCCCCTGATATAAAAGCTAACACAAAAGTTCCAGTCTGCAGTTGCATTAAACCATCTTGGAATTCTGCTTTCACTACAGGTCCTGTAGTTTCAAAACCGAATTGGGATGATTCCTGGACTTTTCTGTGATGATCTGGCTAGGGTGATTTTTCTGCCCCTGCTCTGCAGCACTGAGCCTAATAAAATGTCCTGCAGGTCTTGAAATCTCATTTTTTTATATACTAGTGGTCCAATAAAGTGATGATCACGCAACTCCATTTGTGGAGAGATGTTTCATAAAGCAGTGTGGGATACCATGTCACGCGGCTGAATAGAAAGAGCCACCAAGATCCTGGTTTGCTGCTTCCAGGTTGTATAAGTTGGCACGGGACACCGGTGGTCAAGGGAGGAAAGCAAGGAAAAACAGATAGGCAGTTCATGGAAGGTGTGAACCCCCTCGTGCCTCCCTTCTTCTGTTTGTGACCTGGTGTCTGCAAGGGGAGTTTCCATCATTGGATCCCTAGAGCTGCGGGAGTTCCATTCTCTCTCTCTCTCTCTTGCTCTCCCATCCGCTTCTCCACAAGGTGTGATGTTGGGTCCCTTTGCCGGCAACTTGAGCCAATCTAGCTCTTGGTTTGAAAGGGTCTCCCCAAGGCCCCCACTTTGAGATCTCTTCACTCAGTCAAAGATCTTGAGTCCCACCCTGGGAAAGCCCACCCAAGCCCACGTTTCACAGAAGGGTGCTTATTCTTGCACAGGCATTCTGCTACTCTTTAAGTGTCATTTATTCCGTGTAGCTGAGCGGGAGAGCAGAAGGTAAGCAGAAACACTGCACGTCCAGAGTTATAGCGAGCGCACCAGAAGATCCCAGTTGGACACTGTGTCACAGGCAAGGCCTCCAGGAGACGGTGGGCCAGGCTTGCAGGAGTACCAGGGGATGAGGGCAAAGGAATTGTCATGAGAGAATGCAATTGGAAAATGACAGGCTGGCCTGCTTCTCCTTTAGCAGCAGGTCTCTGTATCTGCCGCTGAGCCCAGAGGTTTTTCTCCCTCATGACTCAGATCTTCAAGGCCACCCTTTTCATCTTTTGCTGGCTGCCTTTCTGCCCTTCTCTGTTTTCTGCTCTCTGAAGAGAGACGTATGGGGATTTGCTCCATGCTATATACAAGAGCAAAGCCATCAAGGGCATGTAAGTGTGTTTTTTGTTTCCTTTAAAGCAAGAAGCTTGCCGGCTGATCATCGTTTCCGTTTCACGGGGTCTGGGTGAGCCTGGGCAGGCCTCCCGTGCTTTTCTCAGCTCTAAGAGAATAACACAAACACTTGCAACAAACCCTGCTCCCACTGAAGCCATGTCCCCGGCCAACCATGCAGCTGACCTTTGACCTGGGCCACTGGGAGCCCGGGGGTCCCGAGAGGGAAGCTGCGCGAGGACGGTCCTCCTGCCCAAGTGCTCTCTTTTCCACCCGACTTAGGAGGTTCCAGACAACAGGGCCACCAAGAGAAGGACTCAACGGAAGTGGCTCTCCTCTTGGCCTGACCCATCGAGCCCTGTGGCTTAAGTGGCTCGGAGATCACAGCATTTGGAGGACTGCTTGGTCCTGCATGAGCCTGCTCAAAGTAGGAGATCCTTCTGTGAAGCCCTGCTTAGAAGCCCTCGCCTGCTGAGTCCAGGGGTCAGAGAAGAACTCTGGAGGGCTCTCTGAGCGGAGGGGGGGCAACGGGCAGGCTTGAGAAGCCCCGTTAATGTCCAGAGCCACCCCCGAGAGGGTTCGGCCAGGGGTTCCTTGACCCATGGGGGTTTCTAGGAGGCCCACTAAAGGGGCCACAAAGGCAGGTATTTACTCCACTGGCCAAACGTCACAAGGCTGAATTTGCTGCCCTCTCCCTTGATGTCGTCCCTCTTTCCAGGGGTTTTTGGCCTCTCAGGGAGGCTCGTATGCTTTTGACCTGCTTTGCTGGGGTGTGTGTGAGGGGGGGTTAGGGTTAGAGCTCCAGGGTTCACATCCAGAGTTAATCTCCATATCCTTTGCACCCTCTCTGGAAACCTTTCATTACCTCTTTATTAGCTTATAAAACTAAAACCAGCCCAAAAGGCTCCCAAGGTGAAGGCACTGTGGGGAAGGAATCTCTAGGGACCCTTTGCCACCTTCTGGGAGGTCTTGGCAAGGGCGAATTGCGCCTCCCTGTGCCAATTGGCTTGGCCCTTTCGCCCATCTGGATAAGCCTTGACAATGCCATTTTCCTCTTGTGCTTTTAACAGCTTTTGGTCCACAAATTTGAAATGGCTCTGGCAGGAGCTTTCCCCCTTGCCTCTTCATTTCATGCGAAAGGGTTTGTGGCTGTTAGTGACATCCTAGAGGAGGAAATATTTCAATTGAATTGAACGTAATTCATTCCCCCCACCCCCGTTTTTCAGAACACAGCAGCTCACCTGAAGGTCTGCTCACCAGTTGTCCGGAGCAGCCCACCTCCGTAGAAGATGACGGGTGAGGCCTACCTTACCGGAACCTCCGTTGACCTTCCTGAATCCTTCTTAAAGCTTCAACTGAGCTGCTAGCCTTTCCTAGCTGCTAAAGGGTGTGATGTCATGGGTGGATCTGATGACATCACAGAGGAGAAGAGCAGGTCACAGAACCTGAAGGAGGGGAAGCCAAGGCCCTGCCCCCCCACCCCCCTTGCCCAATAGCTGAGGAAAAGTGACTTCCAACCCTCCATGTTGAGCTGGTGTCTGGATTTTGGAGAAATGCTGAGCGTGAAAAACCTTCTTCTTGGAAATGCAACTGTATGTGTAGGCTGGGGGAATTCTAACAGCTGCAATTTTTTTTTAAGACCAAATTTTTCAAACTCTGGGAAGACGTTGAAGAAACAAGGCTCTTGGCGAGGATTCCAAGCAATTTGTCAATCTGCTAATGTTTTTAGAAGGGACATTTAAGGGCAATGGGTTTATCAGCTCCCACAAGGGATGACTCATTGCCTTTGTGCAAGACCCAGTGGCTTCTGGCCATAAGCACTTACGCATGGCCACCGTCCAGTGGATTTAGTCACTTCCCTTTATATTCCTATTTGCAAGATAGCTGGTTAGCTGCTCTTGACGGGAAGGTCCCAGACTGAGTGGACCTCACACAGCTTTTGACTTCTTTTAAAAAAGAAGTCCTGGGAAAGAGCCAGGTATGGGCAGGAGACTCTCCGGAATGGCAGCCGGGTTGGCTGTTTCAGCTATGGTGGCAGCAGCAGGAGAAGAACCTTGCGGCATATGCAAAGAACAAAAGAAAATAAAAATAAAATAATTGCGGGTGCCCAAGCTTTCATGGGCTAGAGGCCTCTACCCGAGATGCCTAGGCTGTGACTTTAAGCTAGCTGGCCCACGGCCCCATGGTACAGGGAAGTGGTTGGGTGGGTGGGTGGCTGCCAGAGGGGCTAGCAGGCAGTGAAATGCAAACCAGCCTTGCAGAGAATCAGCTCAGCGGCCACGCAACAAAGCCGCATTAACTGTCACACACAAAGGCCTGGATTCCTGGCAAGCCGTCAGAACACAAGGCGCAGGACAGAAGCATCACACCGGGATCCAGAGGTCAGTGTGGGACAGGAAGATGGCTTACATGCTGGCAGGCCTATGGATCCCAGCTTCATGACTGGCACAATGAGGTCCCGCAGTAGTGTTGCCTGGACAGATGTGTGTGTGTGTTTGTGTGGGTAGAGTGACCACTGCGAGTCTGCCACAGGGTCTGGTCCCCATGTTCAGGTCTGCATGTGTGGCTTTTGTTGCTAGAAAGGAGCCATTTTAGGTTTGGGAGGAGGTCTGTCTGTTGTCAAGACCAGCCAATGGCCCAAGGCCCGGGAAATGGACTGGTTGTCACCCTGGGAAAGTGTGTGTGTGTGTGTGTGTAGGTCTTGGAGATACATTTTAGCTGGCGGCTCTAAAAGAGGTGCTCTGCCATTTTCCTTTTCAACTCGATCTGATGTTATGTCTTACACATCTGGCCTGGTTCAATTCCTTTTCCACTCTTTGTGTGAGGGATGTCCTTTGGGAAAGATCTGCCAAAAATCATCAAGCAGTGAATCTCTTAGGCTAACAAGTCTGAACATATGTGGCTCTTGTGGGGCTTGGCTGGACCCCATGGATGAAGCCGGAAGCCTGTGTGTGTGTATGTTGCAATCAGCAGTTGTTTTTTTTTAATTTAAAAAGGGGGACATTTATACTTTCACCATAATTTCAAAACAGTGAACACGATGAGCAACTGATTTAGTTTTGAGCTGATGGTTGGGTGAACGTTATCGACATCCTGGTGGAACGTCCGTGGAGAATCCTCTCCAGATGGTAAAGATCTACCTGAGGTAGAAAACAAGGGTGGGGGAAGCACTCTTCCATTTCAACCATAAATACACGGGCTATAAGATATATATTCAAAACTCAAAAGATACTATGAATTCACAGAAGGCCTGGAACAGCTCTCTCACTGAACACTGCTCCCAGGAGTGACTGAGGTGTCTGCTTCTACATACACTCGGACCAGCGTGACAGCCCTGGCAGGTTTGCAAAGTGGGGGAGAGTGAAACCGAGCCTGTGAGGGGTGCACCGATGGCCAAGTACTGTATGTGACAGTACTCTGTTGCCTTTTGCAAGGGATAGTCCTTCATGACTTCTGATAAAATGTCCATTTCGGCTATTTCCCGTATCTTTTCAATAAGATCTTCTTATTTCGGTACCGTTGGTCTTTTCCAATTTTTAGCATACAGAATTCTGGCTGCCGTAACTATGTATATAACTATATAATTCTTTGACTTATCTATATTTTCAGGTATCATACTCAATAAAAACAGTTCTGGGGTTAATGGCACCTTACAGAGCAATATTTGGTCCAATATAACATGCACTCTTTTCCAATATTGTTTCGCTACTCCACATGACCACTACATATGATAATAGCTTCCCACTTGTGTTTCACATTTCCAACACTTATTTGATACATCTGTGTACATCTTTGACAATTTTTCTGGGGTCATGTGCCACCTATAAAACATCTTATATATATTCTCTTTAAAGTTCACCGATCTTGTAAGCTTTATGTTATTTTGCCATATTTTCAGCCATTGATCAATATCAATATTATGCCCTATATTTTGTGCCCACTTAATCATACATTCCGTAACCATTTCATCTTGCACCTTAATTTCCAACATATAATTATACATTTTCTTAACAATTTGTTCTTTTGAACCTAATAAAAGTTTATCAAAAATCGTTTGCTCTGAGTAGAAGCCTTCTATTTTATCTTTTGTATATCTAGATTCTAACTGTGCTCTAGGCCACCAATCAATATATATGTTCTGTGACTCTAGCTCTTCTTTAGATTTTAATTCACCATCCTTTTTTAATAGATCTTGATATTTTAAAAAGTTTGCTTTTGTCATAAGACTGGGTTGGATAAAGGCCTCTAACGGTGACAACCATACAGGTATTTGATTTATTCTCATACCTGCCATGTCACCAATATTTTTTAACGTTGCCATCAAGACTTCTATTGAATACAATGGTTCTTCCAGTATAATGACTAAATCATCCGCAAAAGCCTGCAGTTTATAGACTTGGCCTTTTACTTTTAATCCTTTCAATTCCTTTTTGTCTCTAATTTGTTCATTTAGTATTTCTAGAGTCAAAATAAATAGGAGTGGGGACAGTGGACATCCCTGTCTAGCTGATACCCCCACAGCTGGGAGGGTACAAGTTCCCTCTAGACGGGCGTGTGGATTTGGGGCAGCCGTTAAGACACGCTGGGTCAAGCTTGGGCAGTACATTCCAGAAGATCTGGTCTTATGCCAGCATCAGGTGGTATCCCTTCCCACTGGTGTTCCTCAGTGGGGTGCAAGAGTGGGTGGCGGTGTGAAATGTGGGGCCCAGCCATTAGCAGTCGGGCCCCTTGCTGACGGCAGTTCCTTTTAAACAATGGCCTCTTTAATGAGGATGCCTGGATTGCTCCAGACGTTGCAGATGGCACGACGCTGTCCCGGCTGAGATGCTGTGGTCCAGAAACAACGGTTTCCAGATTCCTCCAGCTTGAGTGGGATGGTGGAAGCTCTATCTAGCGATAAAGAGCCTGCTCTGGTGATGCAGCCATCTGCCGGGGTGGCTGCAGAATAATTCCTCCTGTAGTGCTGAGATGTCAGCTGTGTCTCAGTGTACTGTCAATGGCAATGGTGTTTTGCACATTGAATGACCTTTGATTTAATTATTGCTGCCTCTACTTTCGGTGCTTTGGTTTAATCCTACTGTACTGCTAACACTCCTTCTCCCCCAGCCCGAACCACTCAAGTCCTTTGAATTTGGCACACGCCTGGCCCGTGACCACCTCTGTGGTGACCTAGGTGCTGAGGACTCTGACCATGGACTCTTCAGGCTCAAAGGTGTTGCCCCACCAGCAGGCTCTGTCTGCCCCCCCCCCAAAAAAAAACAATTCAGGTTGAAGGAAGGTGTCTCATGTGTTCATTAGAAAAGCAATTAATTGTGATCAATCTGGACTAGTTAGTTTGGATCTCAGGTATATGATATAGCCCATATGGACTTGCCAAGGGGGATGTATCCAGTACAGCTGTGGAGATTCTGTCCTGCAGATCTGTTGGTATTTCCTCTAACGGGAGGTTTCTGCATCTTGGATGCCCCCCTCCCCTCCCCTTCCCTTCCTTTCCCTGCTCTTAGGCTGAAAGTGAAGCCAGCCACAACATTAAGCAGGGCTGAGCAGCGCCAAGTACGGGGTCATGAGCCTGAGCTACAGGCATCAGACAAAGCCCTGTTTAAACTCTACATAAATAAATAAAAAAAAATACATGGCAAACTGGAAAAGGGGGGAGGGGTCGGAGTTGCTTGGGACGTGCCCTGCCCTGTCAAGGTTGAGAGGGTGTCGCATTTGGAGAGTGAATCGGTGCCCATGGGCAACATAAAGCTGAGCAAGGACGCCCAAGAGTCAGGAGGGGAAGCACTCGGCTTTTGCCCTGTCATTGCCAGTTGGCGTCTTGACAAGGTCGGGGATGCGATCCTCTCCCCAGGGGCCATCCTTGGAAAACATTTCCACAGCCCAGGACCTTTCGGGTAACAAGGCACACGGCAGGTGCAGGCAGTTGCTTTATGGCCGAAGCAGCCGGGAGCCTTGGGCAATTTAAGGCTTTCCATTACGTTACCGGACAGTTACCGGCTGTGATTTGTGGCCCCGGGCGAGGCTGGCAGCCTGTGGTAGAATCAGCCGGGGTGGTGGGGCGATTCTGTCCCTTGCCCCACCTTGAACACCAAGGAGGCGGAAAATGGTGCTGGGAGGTTGGGAGGACGACCAGATGGGATCCTTATTCATGGGGGGGGGTCAGCAGATCCAAACCAATGTTCCCACTGCAGATCCTGAAGGAACTCTATGGATGACTGGATCCTCTTTAAGAACTAAACAAAAACAGGGAGGGAGGAAAGGGAAGGAACACGGGGCAGATTGTGGGCCAAGGAGGGGACAACGCGCCTCACCTCCAAATGCCTGGGGGGCACAGGCTGGCATTCAAGCGGGTTGCGTCCAGGGGAGGGGGACTCCTACAGCTCCCAGCAAGGAGGCCA